GTGCTACAGTTGCTGACTTCAAACCGTTCCAAATTCCATTCCTGGGCTTGGATTCTCTCAAGGCAGAGCCTGTCGAGGCTGGGGCATCTCCATCCATCCCCCAGGCTCCTCCTGCAAACCAAGAACTCCCAACAAGGGCAGGAATCTTTACCGCTGTTCAAAAAGCCTCTGAGACTGCCTGCTTAGCCTCTACTTCTCTGGAGGTGCACAATTGTGGTGCTTCAATGGCTCTTCCGCCTTCAGAAACTTCAACTTCCAAGGGCAAGAGTCAAACAAATGAAATGAAAATCTCAACCACTGAACAAGAAGCTGGTGAAGCTCGCTCGCCTAATAATGGCCGCCTTCCTCCTACTCCTGCACCATCAGTAAATTGTAACGTTCTCAGCTGCAATGGAACGAGAACTGTCCCTGCAACGCTGGAGGCTTCTTTTAAGGTGGAAGAGGCGCACAATTCTGTGGATTTTGGACGTTCTAAGCATCTTTGCATCAAATTGAATGAATGCAGTGAATTAACTCGCATTCATGTTTCCGAAAGCTTCAAATACGTTTGCACTGAAGAAAATGAAAATAATATTTGCTCAGGAGAAATAGCATTTCCAGAGCCTCATCCTAAGCATGTGAGCGAAGATTCAGAGCGACCTAAACTGCGCAGTGAAAAAGTGGGCAAAAGTGGAGGACCAAATTCAAGTGAAGAGAATAAGTCAAACTTTCCTAAAAATACTGATTGTCTGCGAAGGACATCCCTCAATCGTTCTAAGCGTCTAAATGCTTCTATGAAGGAGGCAATTTCTTCCACAACCTCCCACGTACGTCGTAACAAAGAGAAGACTCGCAAGTGTCATGTCTGTGGCGCAGCTTTCTGCTCTAAATGTGATCTTGACCGACATATCAACGCAGTTCATCTTAAATTGAGGCCCTACAAGTGCTCTAAGTGCGATTATGCCTCCAGTTATGCTTCTCTTTTGCGAACCCATTTAAACACAGTGCATGCAAAGCTGAAGCAATTCGAGTGCGATGAGTGTGACAGCTACTTTTCTCGGAAAAGTAATCTAAAAGCTCACATTTCCAGGGTACACCTCAAAGACAGACCGCACGCGTGCCCGCACTGTTCCTATTCATTTGAGTCGAAAACAGGACTTGCTGGGCATGTTGCTAGCGTTCACTTGAAGCTGAAGCCTCACAAGTGTCCTCAATGTGACTACACTGGCAGCAGTAAAGGGATTCTTAATTATCATGTTAATAGTGTTCATTTAAAAATACGACCGCACAAGTGTGCTCAATGTGACTACACTTGCAGCAGTAAATGGCATCTTGATTATCATGTTAATGCTGTTCATTTAAAATTACGACCTCACAAGTGCCAGACGTGCAAGCGCGGGTTCTACCAGAAAGCCCAACTAGAACGGCACATAAAATTGGTGCACATGAATTTGAGGGATCACAAATGTTCGCAGTGTGATTACGCTGCAAGTTCTCGCTGGCATCTCAAGAAACATGTTGATGCGGTGCATCTGAAAATAAAGAAATATGAGTGCGGAGTTTGTCAATACCGCGACGCTAAGAAGTCTGGGCTTATAAGCCATGTTGCTCGTAAACATCCTTGGTGAGAGTGACTGCCCAAGCTACTGTACCTGGGACCAAAATCACTGCTTCCTGTCACACGGGAAATTTCGAATTGAGTGGAGTTTGCGGGTCAAGTGGCTGGCTATCTAAATTTATTGTCTAATCTTAGGCTGAAATTATGATGACGCGTAATGTGCTAATCGTAGTCAAATAATCTCGTTTAATCAGAGTGCTAATAATAGCAGAAAGGAGCTCAATAATAGTTACGCATACTCAAAACAGAAGAGTTTTATTAACCTGGTCTTATACACTGCATTCTTGAGGAATGAGAGGCTATATATCCTTCCAGGGATTCCTTCTACTAGGAAAACAAAGGCACATGTGGATAACGTTGGAACAAAAGTGTGTCGAAGCAATTTTCAACTATACTAGATGCAAGTGTAGAGCAGTTAGGTAAATCTTAGACACTTTTCGCATCCTATGACTTTTCTTAACAAACCAGGGAACGCATTTTAGTAAACAGCTGCCGCAGTGGAAGGGGTGGCTCTGCTGACACAGTGGCACGAGTGGCACAGCCACTGCTGTGGCACGAGTGGCACAGTTGTAGAGGCACGGGTGAGAGGTAAATTTTTAAAGACACTTTTTGCATCTTGACACGTTCTTCATCAAACTAGGAGACGTTTTCTATCATTACCTGCCATTACAGAAAACATTACAGAAAAGCTACCCACTTTTGTAGTGAGTAAAGAATTGGTCGGCATTGAATACAATAACTGCCAGACGCTTAGAAGTTTGGTGAGCTTTTAATTAGTATTATACATTATTTATACCTGATCATTTTGGGATGCGTAAGATCATCAGTATATTTAACCCTACTAGTATAAAATACATACTAATTATATTGGAAGATCGAGGCGGCGAAGACTTTAATACTATTCATGTTAAGAGAACTACGGCGTCGGCAAACTACATCACAAGGATAACATAGTGCAATCTTCATAGCATCTTTACAAATAACGACTCGTTCGTCACCACTGTACTGAAGTCGCCACCTAACAATAAAAAATAATATATCCTTTTAGTATTACCCATGCTCCAAAAATCTAATTCAGACATAACTCTAGTACTTCTGTATTTGTTTTCTTTATATGCTCATAAAACCACAGATGGGCACATAAATTCAAGTTTCTAGAGAGATTCTAATATTGATAACTTGCCACGTTCATCCAGGTTTTCTTATTAAGAACTTAAGACTATGGACGGACGTCGGTCGCGTGGTATGGACGGAACCTTCGAATTTAGGCCTATATTATATTTAGGCCTATATTATATTTAGGCCTATATTATATTTAGGCCTATAGGGAACATGATGGAGGTCTGTACTTTATATGGACAATGATATAGGTCTATATAGACAATGATAAAGATCCATATGGATCAATACGGATGAGGTGCAACCATGAGAAAAAGCATACAAAGGGACATATAGGGCAGCTCATATGCATTTTATTTTAATTCATTTATTGCGCGTGTTTAGCGCATTTTCTCATTTATGAAAAAAATGCACTATTGTGCTCGCCTTGTCCGTCCGTCTGTCCGTCCGTGACTTCGCGTTTTCATCGACGAGAAAATGCGCTCTCTGTCACTCACTGCAGTGGGTACTGAGTTATATTTATTAAGAATTTAGACGATGAATTTCTAAGCGGTTCTCCAGTTTATTTCTGAATAGATCACTCGCTATATCCCAAGCAACTGACTCATAAATTAACAGTTACTTGCGTAACCGATGTGATACTCATACTGTTTATAACTTTACTCAATGTCGTGAATAATGAACTCTATTATCAAATATTGAATATTATTATTATATTATGTTATTATTGAATAAAATTAGCATCAAACACTGACTTTAGTCCTGGCGACATCCTCCAGCCGCGTGACTTCGCAGAGCTCGTGGTAGAAGCTGTGCACCACCAACCACGCGTACATGTTACCTGAGGACATGTAAGTGACATGTTACCTGAGGACATGTAAGTGACATGTTACCTGTGGCCATGTAAGTGACATGTTACCTGTGGCCATGTAAGTGACATGTTACCTGTGGACATGTAAGTGACATGTTACCTGGGGACATGTAAGTGACATGTTACCTGTGGACATGTAAGTGACATGTTACCTGTGGACATGTAAGTGACATGTTACCTGTGGACATGTAAGTGACATGTTACCTGTGGACATGTAAGTGACATGTTACCTGTGGACATGTAAGTGACATGTTACCTGTGGACATGTAAGTGACATGTTACCTGTGGACATGTAAGTGACATGTTACCTGTGGACATGTAAGTGACATGTTACCTGTGGACATGTAAGTGACATGTTACCTGTGGACATGTAAGTGACATGTTACCTGTGGACATGTAAGTGACATGTTACCTGTGGACATGTAAGTGACATGTTACCTGTGGACATGTAAGTGACATGTTACCTGTGGACATGTAAGTGACATGTTACCTGTGGACATGTAAGTGACATGTTACCTGTGGACATGTAAGTGACATGTTACCTGTGGACATGTAAGTGACATGTTACCTGTGGACATGTAAGTGACATGTTACCTGTGGACATGTAAGTGACATGTTACCTGTGGACATGTAAGTGACATGTTACCTGTGGACATGTAAGTGACATGTTACCTGTGGACATGTAAGTGACATGTTACCTGTGGACATGTAAGTGACATGTTACCTGAGGACATGTAAGTGACATGTTACCTGATGACATGTCAGTTATAGTAATAAAGGTAAGTTTAATTTCATGTGATCATAACTAATGTTACAATATTGCAACACTGAGAGAGGGAGGCGTGTGAGTGACGGGTTTGTAAATGTAAAATGTAATGTATGTAAAAAATGTTAAAATTTAACTAATTCATCATGTATTTCATGCCAAGTGTGAATACTAAGAATGTAATTCACATAAAGTGATAAATATAGTAACGAACCAATTTTTGGAAGCAATTAGAGGTTTACCAAGCAATTCTGTGCTCTATTTGATTTTAATTTTGTTAATACACATAAGATATAAATAAAGTTCCTACATACGAACATTTCCTTATCGAAACCCAGTCCTGGACAGTGTTCAGATGGGTCACTATGTTATATGAGTTATCAAGTCGAGGTATTACTGTAAGTACTTTCTCACCCACAACATGAATGACTTGAGTAGGGCTCAAGAATGTGTGAGTAGGAAGTGATAACAACACCAGAGATAACAACAACACCAGTGGGCCCCATCACCTTGTGCCCTGCCTGCACCGAGCATATAACATCTGCTGGCTGGGGTAGAGGATCTCGTGCAACAGTTGCAGGCAATTGGTGCACCTCACGTTCACCTCGCTTCCTACTCTTGGACACTATATAATATAATAATGATATAATGATTACTCTATACAATAATGATACACTATACAATATAATGATGACACTATACCAGCAACTGGCACTGCTCATTGTGCCGCCCTGTGACCATCACATCTGCACCGCAAGTCCCACAGCACACACCGGCTCCTCTGCTGCCACCTGACCCCTGCCTGGGCCTCCCTCCCCGCCTCGCCCAGTCCCCCAGTCCCTCCTCCTAATCGACCACAAGCCAGCACACCACCGACCCGCCATCAAGACCTTAACATCCTACAACTCAACAATGACGGCCTACGCACCAAGCATGTCGAACTCAAACAATACACGCACTCCAACGAAGTTCACGTCGCCATTATACAAGAGACAAAGCTTAGGCACTCACACAAGACACCATCCATCCCAAACTACACTGCCATCAGACAGGATAGGCAACACGGGGAGGGTGGGGGATTGATTACGTACATTCACCACAGTGTTGCCTACCTGGAGAAAACTCGGCATATCAGAACTCTAGCACAAGTAGATAGGCACACGGAACTACAGGCATTTCACATCCAGCCCTATCAAAATTTTTAGCTGGTGGCGATCCTGAATTAGGAACCGCCTAGGACTTGGACCGAACGTAAATCAGCTTCCCCATATATGTCCGCTTTTTGGTCTACATTACGGTCCCCGAATCAGACAGCTACCAGAGCCTGGGGAGGGGACTGAGGGGATTCTGCCAACTCTTGCCCTACTCTCAGGAGACCATAAAGTCGGCCAGGAGGTTCTGACTAGTCGCTGACTGCGATCAGTTGGCCAACTGACCCAGAATAACTCGTACGCGAACATAGCAACTCTGGGGCGGAGGCTGAAGCATGCCCCGAATTTTGTTAGGGAGACAGGTCACAAAAACACATTACTCTCATCAACATATACATTCCTCCAGAACACTCACCGGGTCTACTGGCCCGCTACACTCCCACACTCCATGCATTAAACACACTACCAGACCTGATCCTTGGAGGCGACTTCAACGCAAAGCATCCAGACTGGTACAACCCACAAGACACCACTGCTGGAGAGGTAGAGATCTGTAACCAACTAGACCTGCTCTTCATCCTAAACAATACACTCACTCCCACGCACATACCATATCAGGCCCTATACAGATCCACCTCCCCAGATATCACCTTCTGCTCCCCATCACTATCACACAGGATTTCCTGGAGAGCAGAAACAGACCTCTCATCAGATCACTCTCACAAATATAGCCAACTTTTCATTGGCCAACTGCATCATACCCTCAATCTGGAAAACCGGCAAAATCATAACTCTCCTGAAACCGAACAAACCCCCCACCGAGGCAGCCTCCTACAGGCCCATTACACTCCTCTGCACACCATCTAATGTTGTATAACGCCTCATACTCTCCATAACCACGCCTCGCATTCCCCTCTCACCCACACAACACGGTTACAAAACCCATCACTCCACCACCACACTCCTCACCAACCTCGCACAACGTATACAAGATGGCATTAACTCCAAGCGCCCTGCACATCGCACACTTCTGATCACAATCGACATTAGCAAAGCATTTGATGCCATCCCACGCTTCCCACTCACAGACAAAATCTATATCACACAAAAAGAACATACCGAACGGAGTACCCCAAGGATCAGTCCTCTCACCAACACTTTTCAACCTTTACATGCACGACATTCCAGCCCCACCAGACAACATTCACATTTCGTCTTACGCAGATGACATCACAATTACATCACAATTAACACATGCTCTACACAACTACAACCTTACATCACACAACTATATGCATGCACTCCCCCACACCGTCAAGCATAATGGTTGAATTAATACCATGGTTGAATTAATACCATGGTTGAATTAATACCATGGTTGAATTAATAGTATGGTTGAATCAATACTATGGTTGAATTAATTCAACCATGGTCAAGCATCTTGTGCTGGAGTGCCCGGAGCTGGCAGCACCCAGGCTCCGGGCAGGCATAACATTCATCGGGCAGCTATGGTCCGAAATAATGTACATTATTTACTGGCATCAGAAATAAAGACACATTAATGAGGTTACAGAGGTGATAATTAATTAATTAATGTGTTGGTGAGCTCAGGCTCGGGTGGCGGCTTTCTTGCGCGGCGCAGGCTTACTGGCGTGACCGGGGCTCGGGGAACATCAACAACAGCAGTGATAACAACAATACCAGTGATAACAACACCAGTGATAACAACACCAGTGATAACAACACCAGTGATAACAACAGCACCATTGATAACAACTCCTAGTAACAACATCAGAAATTGTCATGTTGCAAAAAACAAATGAATTTTCTCAAAGTAATTCAGCATAAATAGATGACAATATTATATTTTTCTTCAAAACTTTCAACATTTATATCCTATTGCATGTGATATATAATTGCTGTGACACCCATGCTATTAGACAAAAAAAAATAATAAAATAAAACTTAATCAGTACTCCATGCTGCTAAATTATAGTGTTTTTTAGAACATTTTGTGCGTCTAATTTCTCAGAAACAATTTAATTAAAAATCAAATACAACTTTGAGACGCTAAGTTCACTATTTAAAGAAAATATATTGTATATAGTTATATTATATAGGCATATTATAATATATAATGTAAATTATATTATATAAATGGCAAGTTCAAGATTCAAAGAGATTATATTATATATACGGTATTATATATATTATATTGTATGAGATGCAAAGTTCATGATTTACAGATATTATATTATGTTATATATATTATATTATATATATTATATTATGTACATTATATTATTATATAATATATATTATATTATGTTATATATATTAGGTATATTATATGAGATGCAATGTTCAATATTCAAAGAGATTATACTATATTATATATATTATGTTATGTATATTATATAATATATTATTTTATCATATATAATTTTATATTATATAATTATATAATATTTAATAATATTATATTATGTATATTATATAAGTATAGAGACCCGTCTAAGTCCCTGCATGAGGAGGGCGCTGGCCACCAGGAACAGCAGCCCCGACACGGCCGTGACGGCGGCAAACAGAACCAGCGAGTTGCGCACTGCACACAATATGTGATATTAGATCAATAAAATCACTTACAATGAAAAATACGTACATAAAACATTAAAATTTATTTAATAAGCAGAATTGTGGAATCATTTAATGGGATGACTGACTTGATTGAATAATAAATAGAAAAACTCAGCATCGCACTGAAAAATAATTGATATTAGCTCAATAAAATCACTCATAATTAAAAAGACATACAAAAAACATATTAAAATTTATTTAATAAGTAGAATTGTGGAAAAATATAGTGGGCATACTGCACATAATAACTGATATTAGATCAACAAAATCAGTTGAAATTAAAATGACGTACACAAAACATATTAAAATTTATTTAATAAGCAGAATTGTGGAACCATTTAGTGGGATGACTGACTTAATTGAATAATAAATAGAAAAAGAAAAATAAATAATAATAGAAAATAATAATAAATAATAATTGAATAAAAATAACAATAATTGAATAATAAATAGAAAATGTCAACATTTGTCAGGAAGATGCAAGTCAACCACCAGACCAGACCAGGCAGTGAATTGATATATCCTAAAATCAAATATTTTATTTAATTACTTTACAAACTTACATTCAACTTTAGTTATTAAACAGATTATGTAACAGATCAACTAGAATTTTTGTATAGTATATTGTCAAGACTTGGGAGAAGTTCATCATCAATATACTTAGGTATAAAATTCCCTATTGTTTTTTAGGCAATATAAAAATTTTTTTGGCAAAGAAATATACAAACAAAAATTTATACAGCAATCCCTTGATTAACACGGTTAACAAATCCCCAAGTTTTACCGTGTTAAGCAAAACCGCGCTAATCAAACTTAAGAATATATGGGAATAATTATAATGAATCCTCAAAAATAGCAAAGTTACATAATAATTTTTTTTCCACTAAAATTCATCATATTTTTTTCTAAATAATAGGGGAAATAAATAAAAGAAATGCAAATGAATTAACATATTGATTCCCGTGCGTATTGTTGACTCGGGAAACCCTAGGTCTTCACCGATCTTCGTTTTTGTTTCACCATTATCAAAACAATTAATTATTTCAAGCTTAGTCTCCAAAGTGATATTTTTACGTTTAAGCGTTCCCTTTTTGTCCATAATTATGACAGTAATTTATCAGGGAAAAGTATGTAGTTTGATAAAAATGAGCAGTAGATATGGCAGCGATTTTGACCAGTTGAAGGTTAATGAGTAACTAGAGCACCGGCATGGCCCGGCGAACGTTGCCGAACTCGACCATTTGAGTTATGAACGAGACAAGGCGCGGTTAAACCGACTCTGTAGTCAGCACGAGTGCCTACGCAACGGGACCTTATTTAAAGAATTATTGGCTGAAATTCATAAAGTAACAACATTTGGCAAATTTTTACAAAAGTCATAACAAAAGTAACAACATAAGATCTAATAAGCAAAAAGTAACACTTTTGTTACGAACGTAACACCTCTGGCTAGAGGCGGGAAAATGATGCGTTGTGAAAAAAAAGTCGCGCTAATCAAAACCGGCACCGCGTAGATTAAGGGTAGGTTGCAGATTTTTTTTCCGCGTTAATCAAAACCGTGGTATTCAAAACTGTGCTAATCAAGGGATTGCTGTATAGGTATTACAAATAATATCAAAAAATAAAGATATTATTATATAATATAAATAAGACTGCCATGCCACACATTCCAGAATAGGGCAGTTAAAGCAAAACTGCCTATAACTCCAGGAAACAGGCAAGCTTAAATATAATTTCCTGCTTAAAGCTTAAGCTTAAATATAATTTAATATAATCATTTTTATAATTTAATATAATAATTTATTTGTAAATAAAGAACATTGATAAATAAGGTCATGAATAATCTGCTACAGCCAAGTACACATTAGTATACCGGGGTAGAAAAATACAAAATCCAAAATAAAAATCCAAAATCAATGCTACATGCACATGTTATAGATGATTGCAACAATGCTACATGCACATGTTATAGATGATTGCAACAATGCTACATGAGTCAGCAGAGAGCTTATCATTGATCATCACAAACAGACCCACGACTATCAGGAACAGACCCTCCACCTGTCAGCAGAGAGCTTATCATTGATCATTACAAACAGACCCATGGCTATCAGGAACAGACCCTCCACCTGTCAGCAGAGAACTTATCATTGATCATTACAAACAGACCCACGACTATCAGGAACAGACCCTCCACCTGTCAACAGAGAACTTATCATTGATCATTATAGAGAATAATATAGTGAATTCATTTATATAAAGTTTGTGCACTTCATACATGGCAATAAGAATAAGGAAGTTGATACATTTCTTTGTGAATTGCAGACAAGTTAGGTTCTTTTCCATATGGCACCTTATAGTTAAGAGTGACAATGTTCTGATTTTATATTGCTAATCACCATGTGTTTGAGGCAACATTAACATGCCTCTGTCAATCACCATGTATCTAAACATCAAACTATACACAGAATAGCCTGATTCCAACCCTGAAAGCTAAAATATGAGCAATCAAATCCAAATTTTAAATGGGAAAATCAAATGGATGCTCTTTCCACATTTTTAAAAGCTGGAAGTAGCAATATTTCTTTAATTGTTTAATGTAACTTGATGAAATTGAATAAAACAAGTTAGATGGTTTTCATCCACATTTGAATGCTTATTACTTAGATTTGAAATAAACTAGATTCTATCGCAGTAATGATCATATATGATGTATTACTGAAATGTGCATTACTCGTTCAATAAGAAAAATTTTGGATAATACATCCAAGCAAATAAATCTTTTATTTGTCCATACTTTCTTCTACTGGTTTTATAAATTGAAATTTCTGCATATTTTGATAATTCTGCATATTTTAATGCATGCCTGCCAAAGGGTAAATTGCCATAGACAATATTCAGCAAGAACCATTAATTAGGGTAAATTTTCAAAAGGTTGGGATGAAATTTTCTGTTAAACATGGCTTTATTTTAGTTTATGATGGTTTATAGGAAATATTTTAGTCAGGAGGATTGCACAATTTAAAAAATTTTGCTTGAATAAAATCTTGCAGCTTCAAAGAAAGATATTTCAGATATAACCAAAATATTGCAACTTAATTGTGCACTTTTAATAACAATCAAGTATATAAATAAATAATTTAGCACAAATGTTGCAGTACCAATAATTATAAGAAAGCTATATTTGCATCTTGAAAACATTATGCATTTTCCTCACCTGCCCACCAAGCACCAATACAGAAATAATGTTATCTATTTAGTATAAATTAGTGGGACTCCTGTCTGTATTGGATAGGCATCATATCCATCATGGAGAGGCAGCAATCCATCATGGCCTGGGACTGCTACTATGTCCAAAACATATGCTAAGGATACTAAGGATATATATTACAACCATTTGCTATAACACAGGTAATTTATCAAAAAATATAGATGAATTTCCACCACCTGCATTGATTGAGACCAACATCTGTACAGTTTGGTGCTTGGCATGAATAGGTAGTAGAGTCTTGCATGTCATGTTCATCACTGGCAGTTGATTATGTATCATCTGACAGATCAATAGTCACTGGTCACTGGCCATATCAATAATTATTTGTCACTGTCCATATCAATAGTTATTTGCCACTGGCCATATCAATAGTTATTTGCCACTGGCCATATCAATAGTTATTTGCCACTGGCCATATCAATAGTTATTTGTCACTGGCCATATCAATAGTTATTTGTCACTGGCCATATCAATAGTTATTTGTCACTGGCCATATCAATAGTTATTTGTCACTGGCCTCAATAGTTATTTGTCACTGGCCATATCAATAGTTAATTACCACTGGCCATATCAATAGTTGATTGCTACTGGCCATATCAATAGTTAATTGTTACTGGCCATATCAATAGTAAATTGTCACCGGCCATATCAATAGATTGTGGCCACTGGCCATAATCCATATCAATATCAAATTTATTTGCCAAGTTGCTAACATAAATTATACCGAATCCTTGATTTCTACCAAAAAATAGACAAGAATGTACTTCCTCACCCAAATATGTCAAGTTGCCTGATTTAAGCCTGTAACTTCTAATTATTTTTAGAATGCCAGAATGGGAATAAAAGTTGGGAATTAGAAAACTGTGCCACTGGTCCAAAGTGGAAAATTGGCATGAAGTGACATGACAAAGAGGACAAAAGCACCCATGAACTTGGCTAATTTTACCCGTTTCTAATGCTCTTTCCCAATCCAGGGTGCGTATCAGTATCTAAAAAGAAATTCCTTCACTTTTCCATGACCTGGTTCTAGTAATCTTTGAATGTTGACTGAAAAAAGAGTAGTCGGCACAGCAGAACCAAACTCTGCCAGAACATGTACAAGATGTGTATTAAACCTACGCATCCACTTGTATATTTAATTGATCTTACAATTATATTATGAATCCACTTTTCTCTGCTCTTCCAAATGGAACCGATCAGCATTAATGGGTTAACAGAAGCAGCACAGAAAAACACTTAATTTTTTTCTTCATTTATTTGTAAATTTCATGACTTTCCATAACCTGAAATGAAATCCCATGACTTTCCAGGTCTTAAAATTGAAGAATCAAATTTCATGACTTTCCAGGTTTTCCATGACCAGTACGCACCCTGCCAATCACTTCAGTAAAATACGAGAATAACCCTCTATTTTTAGCTGTAAATTTTTTAAAACTTCTGCCCTACATTCCAAAACGTTTGGCCACAGGAATGGCAGGACCTTTCGAGACACCAAATGAGCTTTCCCCTTATTTTGGGAGCTGAGATTCTTGCTGGATGAATTATGATTACCTATCTAATTGTCAACATAAGTGCATGATCAGGCCGCAGGATTCCACATGTATTAGAAATTTGTCACTTTAGAGCTGTGAGATTTAATTCAGAAGTAAACAAATTCTAATCTAGCACTGAAATGGCTAAATCTTGAGCTACTTTCTGAAGAAATTTTGATAGAAATAAAAAAATTTTAGCAATTTTTGTTTTTCTGTACTTCATTTGATACTATTATTATAGTTTTATGTCTGTTAAGATAAATACTTTTTATTATTAATTTGTAAAAAAAACAATTTTGTACATATCTATACAATAATTCATGTGAAACCAAAATATATTAAACTTTGATGGAAAAATATTTTATATTAAAAAACATCATTTGTTCCAAATTGATATATAAAACAGAATTTTCTTAAATTTTAGGTAAAAACAAATATCACCACAATTTAGAAAATCAAACAGAAGATTCATAAAATTTAAAATTGCAGGTGAAAATAATGATTTCATAGGTGATTTAGATAAATAGGATTAAAACTAGGTTGTTTTTCTCATTTCACACAGAATAAATTGTAAAAATGCCATAGGAATTAGGAACAGGTGAATTTATTCACATTCAATTTCATGGGCATTTTTGTCCAATTTATAGGTGGCTTCTGCCTAATTTTCCATTCAGGGTTCCATAAAAGCAACTTTCAAAAATTGACAGTAAAAATATGTCATTTTCAATTTTTCATTCAATTTTACAAATGAAATTTGGCTAAAGAATTGGTAAAATTACTAATAGGCATGACAATTTTGGAAGAAACTTTCAAAAATTGGCAGTAAGAATATGTCATTTTCAATTTTTCATTCAATTTTACAAATGAAATTTGGCTCAAAAATTGGTAAAATTACTAATAGGTATGACAATTTTGGAAGCAACTTTCAAAAATTGGCAGTAAAAATATGTCATTTTCAATTTTTCATTCAATTTTATAAATGAAATTTGGCTCAAAAATTGGTAAAATTATTAATAGGCATGACAATTTTGGTCTAATTCAAAGATGTATTTAGATTTCAGCCCAACTTTTCAGTTCACAATCTAGTGAGTAAACATAATTTTTTAGTAAAATTTGACTTTCTTTAATATTGTCACTGTTGTCTCAATTTTAATTTCTGTTTTTTTTTTTTCTGGTTTGTCAATTAATTTATTATTGATTAAAACAATAGTATTATAAAAAAAATTTTACCGTTGTATATAAAGCTGAAAGCACAGAGCCTCTTTGTACATCTGTGAAACCAGCATACTCGAGGATGGGCAGCCTTAGTCCAGTTTTCTTCTCCATTGTTGTGGTAAGAGTAGCCACTGACGCCACACTCCTGGCGACCGACATTCTGCTGCCACGTGAGGCCATTGACAAGCCTGACACGCTCCCCATCATTGATTGTGGCATAGTGATTGTGAAATTTTACTTTAGATCGATATTTTTTCTTCGCAAGCTCAGAAATTTGACTAAAATTCAAAGACGGGCACACCCTACCACTTCTTTCAAAATTACGGACAGAATTCGTTGCGCGGATCGCTCACGACTTAGAATGCGGATGGTCGGAAATACAACAGAAATTATCAACTTGCAAACGAGTTATCCATAGATTGATTCATTCGTTTCACATTCAAAATAATTTAATTTTCATGTTTCTATAAAAATATAGCTTTAAGTACCATTTTATTATCGTTTAGTCTCTTTCACCAAGACTTTAAAATAGAAATTAAAGATAATAATGCGGTCATATGGAATAAATTAACTTTGACCTTTTTGAAGACAAATCATTCGTGATATGTAGAAATCTGTTTATATCAAGTGCCTAAAGTGCGTACCTGAATTTTTGCACCAGTCGGACAGGAACGCGTGATCGTTAGCGTGGGCTTCAGCGTGTGCCAGCCCGGCCATGAACATGTGCTACATGGCTGAACTATATAAGGTTGACCCACGAGAAGTTCCGTCTTTCAGTTCAGCTATCTTGTTACGTCACGTAGATCGAGAAACGTAAACAAACCCGTCATTCCCATGACGGATTGGTTGACTGGTTTGATCGTATTTCGGTGATTGGTTAATGCCCGTGACGTCACTGAGATCAGTGACGTCACAGGCGGACAACGAACTACATCCGCGAAAATGGGCTTCTGATGGGTCAACGTTATATTAGTTCAACCATGATGTGCTACACCTGCATCAAACACCCCTGAATGCACCCGTCCAAACGCTTGGGAACGCTATATTTCTTTAATTTGTATAAATTATTATAAAATTAAATACATGTGTTAACATGCTTATTGCGCATTGGCCAATTGTTCCGAGCGTACCGGTCATACCGCACGCTATTTTGGGCAGTTAATTCAATTGTGAGTAAAGGAGAGGAACGGTCGGAAACGATCTTCACTTTACTGGCAACATGTCAGCTGAAAGACACAAAGGGAAACGACCTATAAGACATCAAAACAATACTATTCACTAAGTTACGAAAAATCAGAACAAACAGTAACCTTAAGCTCTGCAATTTATACAATTTCATAAAGAGACATGTGTAAATTTTTAAGTATAATTAGACTTACATAGCAGTCAGCCTTGGGCAGTACGGAGGAAGTTCGTCAAGATAATAAACTATTGGTCTAATAGATTAAACCGATAAGATTATGGATTGTATTGACTACTTTGTCTTCTTGTTCTGAAGGACAAAAAGACGGGCGTACGAAAGACGCCACACGAATATTTTCCCCATTTTTACTCTGTCTCCTTTGCAGGGTGGCAGGTGGCCTTAGGTACAGGGTGGCCCAGTGGTTACAGTTCAGAGTACCAAGATTGGAGCAGAGAAGTGCGGGTTCAATCCCAGCTCTGTGCGCCAGTTTCTGGTCAGAATCGGCAAGGAGGCCGGGCGGTTAAGCACAGCAGTATTGTAGCAGTGAGTTGCGAGTTCAAACCCACAACAAGCTGTGGATGTTCTGCAATACTAAGAATCGGCGACAGGCCTCCGGCCTAATAAACGCTGGAACCGCTATGACCGCAAAATGAAACTGTTAAACGGGAGCAAACGAGCAAATTCAGCTACTTGGGAGCGCTTTACATCCTCAATTAGTAAGCAATAATTATGAAATTAAATATATTGTTTTACAAGCATATTGCGCATTGCCGACCATTTCTTTACATTCTTATCCCATCTGCTCTGCAAATAAAACGGCAAAACGGGTGCAAACGACCAAATGAGTCAAGTTTCAGCCGTGGTCGCGAGCGGACGCTCGTGTTTTGCGGTCCTAGATTTTCAACTTTTAACTTTTACTGGGCCGTTTTCGGAACTTTTTTTGCATTTTTTTATGATCCGTGTCAGTGAATGACTGAATTTTCAGTGAAGTCAGTAAAAGAGAGTGCGAATAGAAAAAAACCTACAGTAAAAGTGTTTCTATCTGAAATAACGCGATTTAGAGTCAGCGAGGGTCGCCAAGCAAGCGAGGGCAACGTGCACTGCCTCGCCAGCGTAGAACAATAAAGCCCTTGTTTTATGCCCAAGCTTACCTCCTCTACCCTGAACACCTTTTACAGCCGCTGATTGAAAGCCGCTTATTCTCAGCCGCTGCTTCAGTGCGCAGCGGCGTGCCACAAGGAAGCGTTATCGGGCCTATTCTATTCGTTGCGTTTATATACGATCTGCCAGAAGCTGTGTCTAGCGTTTGATCGATGTATGCTGACGACACAAAAATTTATAATACAGTGAAGAATACGTCGCAAAAAGTACAGTTGCAAGGTGATCTTGACAGGAATTTATAATACGGTGTTGAATACTTCGCAAAAAGTACAGTTGCAAGGTGATCTTGACAGGCTGGTTGACTGGGCTGATAAGTGGCAGCTGCGTTTTAACGCTGACAAATGTAAAGTAATCCACCTTGGCAAGAATTATGAACAGCAAGATTACAGTATGAGAAGACACGGTTGCAACGACAGAGTGATGATGTCGAAGTCGACAACGGAAAAAGATTTAGGAGTTAATATCGACAATGAGTTGAAATTTTCGAAGCATATTGAAGGTCAAGTTAATAAAGCCAATAAACGACTTGGACTGATCAGACGCTCTTTCGAGTTCCTAGATGCAGAAACGATGAAGCAGTTGTTTGTTGCTGTCGTGCGCCCGAACCTAGAGTTTGGAAACGTCGTATGTTCACCGAAATTTGAAAAGGACAGAAATTTAGTAGAGATTGTTCAAAGACGCGCAACAAGGATAGTTCCGGGCTTGAAAGGCAAGTCCTATGAGGAAAGATTAAGGATTATGAAGCTTCCAAGCCTCAGTTATCGACGTCTGCGTGGGGACCTCATTGAAGTATACAAGTATACTCATGTCGGAAAGTTTACAAACTTTCGTGCATATGTCTTCATTTTTATAGGTCCATCCCTTTCTGTAAACCATTGAGATCGATCTTAATCTTCCCCCTTTATTAAATTAACGTCATTATTGTCAATTCTAAGAATTTTATTCAAAGCAGTCATTTAGCGGCCGGGCTGGTGGCGACTTTTCTCACTGCTTCCGAGGCTTTCCCTGCAGCAAAGCAGAAATCTTGCATCTCTGGCCGGCAACAGACAGATTCACTTCAACCTTCACACATTCAACTCGTCCCTGTGTCGTCTCGCGTGGTTTATGCCCGTCCGTTCTGCGTAGTTCCTACTCCGCGAGATGACAGCACTCAGCCTCTAGCCGGTTCTTCAACTGGACATCTCACCTGCACCCAGAAGGCCTGCTCTTCCAACAAAGAAGCCGTAAGTCGTTAAATTAGCCTGTGCCGCTCTTAATGACTGCTTCTGGAAGAGCCTTAAGCTCGCTCGCTAAGTTCCTCTTAAGAAAGTGACATTCATCCAATTTCAATTACATTTACATTTCATCGAAATTTCTAAAAACGTTTCATATTCGTTCTCAATGATTTACTGAAAGTTTTTCTAAATAACGTAATCTAATTCTAAAGTGATAATTGATTCTAATTCTAAAGTGATAATTGATTCTAATTCTAAAGTGATAATTGATTCTAATTCTAAAGTGATAATTGATTCTAATTCTAAAGTGATAAGTGATTCTAATTCTAAAACGATTAACCCTTAATCTCGTAGGATTGAATGTCGTGACGAGATGTTCATGATAACGGAGGGGGGCACAACTTTCCTCTACCTCTCCAGTGGACGGGCGACTACGGCTTTTGTTTCTTTTTGAATAAATTCAAATGAGAATCTAGAGTATGTCGTTTACCTGTCCTTGCCATGAACTTATTTTCGTCATGGCGACCATGACAGGACTGGCGAGCACTGGGTGCTGGGTCTGGACGAGTCTAGTTGTTTACGCGACTGCGCTTGGATTATTTATTTGTTTGAGTTAACTATTAGTGTGTGAAGGTATCTCTAAAATTGAAGTAATTCTAATTCTTTCTTAATTGATAGCTGTACCCGCATTTTCTGTTCCACCATGTCTAACATAGAATTCCTTAAGCGTTCCCGTGGGCATGTGAGGAGCCGAGTAACGAAGCTGTGCGACAAGGTGGAAAGCCTTGCGCCTCTCAGCCGTTCTGATAAACTAACAGCTCTCTCACAATTGCAGGCTCTGGACCAGGAATTAAAAGCAATGGACAGAGAAATTGGGGCTACTATTTGGGAGTCCTCTATGGATGACACCAAATTAGCGGACGATATGAATGCGTGCGAAATTTATAATGATAGGATAATGACAAACGTGATCACTCTGTGTGAAGATCTCCAGTGCGAGCAAATGGCTAGCGAGGCAGTTACACGAGATCCTTTGCCTTTAGAAACGCATTCTCGCTTGAATAAGTTGAAGTTGCCGGAAATTCCACTTCCTCAAATTAGGAATGCTAAGGGCGAGTCTCTGGCAAATTTCTTGGCCAACTTTGATGCTATACTTGACAAATCTCAGCTTTCAAGCTACGAAAAGTTTGTTTACCTTAAGAAGCAGTTGCAGAATGAACCTCTTGTGCTGATCAATTCTCTTTCGGGTGCAAATCAGACTTATGAGATTGTGCGCAAACTATTAGAGGAAGCATTTTCTCGCACGGCGGCGCAGAAATTCGAAGTAATTCGCCGTCTCAGTAGTTTGAAGTTGGCACCAGGTGGTAATCCGTATGAATTCGTCAGTGAAATGAGATCTATTGAAGATCTATTCAAATGCCTGGATATCGACACAGAGACCATTCTCCAATATTTTTTTTTGGAACGGCATGCCCAGCCTTTTACAAAGTCAATTCATTTCAATTTGTAATAACAGTAAGCCTTCTTTGAAGCAATTAAACGAACATATGTTTGACGCGCTTGATCGTTTTGACGCGCTTGATCACGTTTTGCCGCGCTTGATCACGGTCCCAGAAGGATTACTAGAATTTGAAACAAGAACCAACACCAGGGGCCACGGCTATAAACTAAAAAAACAGCGTTGGAACACATCCATGCGACAACATTTCTTCTCGCTTCGAGTCACCGACATGTGGAACAGCCTCCCTGATAGCATCGTTGACGCTCCGAGTATGAACATCTTCGAA